ATTTTTTTTCTTGCTGTCTCCCGTTACGAATCACCGAGCTCTGAACTCTCACCGGAGAAGGGTGAGCTCGCAGTCGAGCGCTCGAAAGTGTGTTCGTTGCCAGAGCGTGGGGATGGTCGCCAGTTCGAATCCCGTCCGCGAAACGTTTTCCCGCTTTGCTGGCCATGCGTCGACGAGCCGAGCGCCCGATGGCTAGGCAACATCTCGCTTGCAGTGCATGCGCGTACCGCGGGCTGGCCTACCCTTAGTCTCGCAGGCGCTGAGCTCGCGCGTTGTCCCTGTTGGTAGCGACACAGCTGAACCCGCAACAGACACGGCCACAGTCTGCTTTCCAAACCGACAGTAGGCCACAGACAAAGTCCGCCCACCACGAATGCTCACGCCCTGGGTTCGAATCCCGTGCGCGGAACGTTTTCCCGCTTCGCTGGCCGCCGCCCCTTCGGGCGTCAGCGACGGCTGAGATCCAAATGTCGCCGGGAGACGTTAACGTTGCCGCCCCTCCGTGGCCCAGTCCGTAGCGCGCCCGGTCTGTGAGACCATGGTCGCCGGTTCGAATCCCGTCCCAGCGAAATTTTTCGCGGCACGCTGGCCATGTGTTCATCAGCCGCGCGACACCCGATGTGACGGGCCGGCACGCAGAGGGTCGCGGCGGTTCGAATCTCGTCGACGGCACACTCTTCCACTCCCAACCACGTGTTTGGGGTGTCTACCATAGCGGAGATGACCATGTTTGCTGCATCCACCGTATCGGCTCAGTAGGTAGAGCACGCGCGCGGGACGAGGTTGGTCGTGTGTTCGAATACTGACCGAGGCCCACCTTTTCCCGTTTAGTAGTTTAAACGGCCGGGGGGGGGGGGGCATAGTTTAGGTCAAAAGACCAGGTGACATGATGGACTTGACCGCCTACTCAGCACCACCACCCCTCCCCCTAAAAAAAAAATTCAAATGCTCGCCCGGACCAGGACTCGACCCCTGGGCCGACTATAACATGGGGACCGGGCCTCAGCGCGCTCGCAGTTCGGCTGTCAGCTCCACCTGTAGGCAGAGCGTTTCGAGCTCGGTCCTGCTTCACGAGTCTTGGCCTCCCGTATTGCAGCCGTTCAGAACGTGTCAAGTCCACCTCCTCGACGCGCTGCAGCCCGGGTCGGCTACTGGCCCGAATCACCCAAAATGGCCACTAAAAGAGCCCTCTAAACGCGCGAGGGTTAGGTTAGGTCCATTTATGTTCCCATTTCCGTGTTTTTGGCCAAAATTCGACCCGGGCTGCAGCGCGTCGAGGAGGTGGA